TCGGGGCATCCCTGACACTGAAGACACAGTAAACAATCCTGTAATTTAGTTATGTTCTACTCAGTCCAAGATAGTTACAGGGTTTGTTAACTGGGAAAAAAAATCAAAGGGACCGTTCACCACCAAATCAAGTCAAATCAATCAGATGTGCTATTTCACACATATGAGTTCCCAACAGGAAATTTGCAGGGCGCCCTCTGGTGGACAAACTTTGCAACATCAACACTCATAACAAGGCTGAAGGGTGTTTCTTTCATTTCTTCTTTAGTTATGGTTAATCAGCCATCACAAGAGACAATACCTATATATCAATAGCTAATATTGACAAATTACTAATATAAGGTCAATCGAAAATCAATATTTCATATAAGCAACTTTATTCTTCAACACAGCCTGAACTTTCTGGGGCTGCTTTCTTGTACTTTCTTTAAGTAGTCTTGAGGAATAGTTCTCCGGACTTCTTGAAAGACATTCAAAGCTCGTCTTTGGATGTTTTTTCTGCCTGTAGATGATCCCACACTGCTTCAGTAATGTTGAGGTCCGAGCTCTGGGGAGGCCAATCCATGACTGTGTGTTTCATCCAGGAATGATTTTACTGCATTGACATTGTATTTGGGATCAATGTCATACCTAAAAAATTAAGCCAGCCTGTCCAGGGTGGACATTACATGCTGGATCAAAATCTGATAGTACTTATCTGCATTCCTAATTCCATAAGATTTTCCAAGATATCCAACACTACTGCCTGAAATACATCCCCAAACCAAGACACAGCCTCTGCCATGCTTTACAGATAGATGTAGATACTGTTGTAGCCCTCTCCTGCATTCCTCTGTAGATGTTAATGTTGACTTGAACCTACAGCTGATATTGTCCAAGCCTGCTCCAGTTAGCACAGAGCAGAGGGCGCAGCGCACTCTGGACAGGTCACCAGTCCATCACAGGGCTAACATGAAGAGAGAGACAACAAACCAGAAATCTGCTCTGCACCACATACTGGATCACCCCTGAGATGGGGTGAACTGTCCCTTTAAATATGCTCATTTTATCTCTGGGCATTTTTCTTTTTTTAAGGAATTTTTCAATTAACCAATGA